GAGGATGGATGGATGGGAGGATGGATGGATGGGAGGATGGATGAAGGAACAGATAAGATCTGCTTCACTGGACAGATGGACAAATAGAGAAATGAGTAGATGGATAAATCACTTTAATAAGTCCTTTATGGAGCATTTAGGAATAAAATGGTTGTGTAGTATTTATTTATGTAGGATTCTTTATCTCATTTGATCCTTAACATGACCCTTAGAAATATACCCTGCAGGTATTAATTTCTTCCTTTTAGAGAGGACAAAACGGAGACACAGGGAGGTGAAGCAACTTGCAGAGCCAGAAACTGAGTCTCCAGTCCTCCCGTCCAGGACTCTTCCCCCTCTCCCATGCAAATACGTATAAGTAATGAGAAAACCAAGAGTTAAGGCAGTAGGAGCTTGGTAGAGAATGTGTCTAGGTATATACCTCTGGGGGTCAGGCCTTCGGGAGAAGGGAGAAAAAGAGTAAAGCTGTCTCCATCCTTACTCAGAGATGTCTTCCTCTACTTCACAGGGCCAAGTATTTCCATGGGAAGAAGGTGAATGGAGAGATTGAGATTCGAGTGGAGCAGGTAGGTTGGCGCAGAGCCTGCAGTGTTACCACCCTGACCTTTTCTATAGCTGGGGCCGTTCCCAGGAGCAACCTTGGTCCCCGATCTTATGTGGCTATAATGAGCTGAGATTACCAAAAAATCCTGGCTTATACCTGGGAATCTGGTGAATTTCTAGAATTATTTGGCCCAATGGTTTTCAGCCCTTTTGTTTTAGCAGCAGAACCTTCAGGAAATCTCAAGTCGAAGCCTATTCTATAAAACAGAGACAAGTAGAGCTTCTCTGATAGAAATGGGCATGGGGCACCCACAAGTTCATCTGCTTCACCCCGTTTCACCCCATCCCCCAACCCCGCATCCCTGCCATGGTCCCCGAGGCATGGAACCACTTGAACTAGAGAGCATGGTGGGTGTGAATACTGGCTTCCTCATTTTCTAGGGATTGGGCAGATGACTTAATCTCCCTGTGCCCCATTTTTCTTGTATCGTTGTTGGGGTTAAATTATTTTAAGCCTCAAAGGAGATTAGAACAGCAGAGCTACCTAGGAAGTCAATGGCAGAATTAGTACTATCCTGTGCTCTCAGACCTAGGGCTCCCCATCCATTCAGCGAACACTTGTTGAGGACCTACTCAGTGCCAAGCATTATGCTTGGCTGTATGTGAGCATGTCAGAGCCAGATTCTGTTGGGTTGTCGGAAAAGTCATGACGTATTTTTCTATGTTTTTTGTTACAAAAGTGCGTCGTGATTTTTCCGACAACCCAATAGGTTCAGCTACCAAATAACTGTGTGACTTTGGGTGAGTAATACTTAATGCTCTCTGCAGCTCAGTTTCTTCATGTGTACAGTTAGAGAAATAATAGCATCAACACTGTAGGGTTGCTGTGAGCATCAAATGAATTAGTCCATGAAAATTACTTAGAGCAGTGCCTGGCACATACCAGCACTTAGTAAACTTCACCCATTTATCATCATCATCACCAAAGGCAAACAGTTAATAAGATAGATAAGGTCCCTGCTATAAGATGAACTCAGAAAAGCTCAATAAAACAAAACAAAACAAAATAAAAAACAGAGAGATGTGACTTTTCCAGAACTCTGAGTTTGGTGTGTTGGAGGAACAGAAAGCCTTTCTGAGCATCAAATTTGAATTGGCTTAGTATTAAAACACCTACCGTTTGAATTTCAATTTGATCCTGTGGCTTTCAAGTCAGTCCAGCGTCGACTGGTTTCCCTTCCACGGCCGGTTATTTTGGTTCACTTAACAAATGTTTGTCAAATGTCTGAATCCTGACTGCTTTATGCTATGCTAGCTAGCTAACCTGGGGAATGAAGATAAAGAAGCAGAGACTCCATCTCCAAAAGCTTGTGGTCTAGAAAGAAAGGCAAGGTAAATCTTCACAGAACCTCAGCACAGGTAGAGCCCAGGAAAGAGGGCCCAAACTCAGCGCTGTGGGCACCAGAGGCCACACCAGCTGAGGCAGTCAGAAGTGGCTTCAAGGAGAGGGCGGTGTTTGAAATGGATCTTGAAGGATGGGTAGGATTTCAGCAAGTGGAAAAGGCAACATAAAGAGTATGTGAGATGGGAGCAGCCGGAGCAAAGGTGAGGAAGCTGGAAGTACAGGGCATGGTGGGGAGTCCAGTCTGGTTGACTCCAAAAAAAGGACACATCGTCTTCCCTGACCACAACCTACACATCCTCTTAAGCTTCCTCTCTCAGTGAAGAGTGCCACCGCCGACCTTCCACCTTAGCCAGGACCCTGTGTTGTCTGCTAGACTCCTCCCTCGCCTTCTGCCGTTATACCCATCCACCCCCAGACCCTCTTGACTCCACATCCCGTATCTGTCCAGTCCGTCCACTTCTCTCCATCCCCATTGCCTTGATCCTTGGCTGAACCGCCATCAACTCTCCTCCAATCTTCCTAATCATCAGACTCCTCACTCCATCTTTTCACTCACTTCCAATTTACTTTTCATACTATAGCCAGAGTGAGCTTTCTAAAAAAGCAAATTAGATTCTTCAAAGTATTAACTTTAAAACCTCTTCCTCAAAGACTCCTTCTCTGAGACATCCCACCCCGATTTCAGTGAGGTAACCTGGTTGTTCCCTTTCATAGCGCCCCGGCGTTCCCTTCCTAGCCTTTATCTGAGTTTTTAACCACGCATGTAGATGTGAGATTACCTACATGAGGGTAGGGACCACGGCTGTTTGGCTCTCACTCTGTCAAGTAGTACAGGCCCTGGCACACACTGGAACTGAAGCAAATATTTGCAGAACGAATAACTTATAGATTCCACAGACTCCAGGCTGCTTGTCGGTTTCCAAGGGAGATAACTCATTGCTCCTTAATCTCTCCTGAAAAACCTGAGTTTTCCATAAACCAACCGGAAAATGCTCAATTGCCAGCTTAGCTAGCTAGCCCTGTCTCCTCTCATTTGTACAAACCTCAGAGGCATGTTTTAATTTTAATCCTTTTATCTCTGTGCTGCCCCGGGGCCCAATGTATGGGTACATAATCCAGGAGCAGGAGCCTCAGAGGGAATTGCCCAAAGACTAACTCACCCAGGGGCTCTGGGGGCACTCAGCCAGTCTGTGAGGGCTACAATCACACTGGAAAACATTTTGCGTGATTCTGATTTCCAGCCATCCCCCACCGTGGAAGCCAGAAGGCAAATTAGCCAAGAGACCAATTAGCAAGTCATTTGGACATTTTTCCTTAGAAGACATACCTTCTTAAACCCCATCTTAGAGTCTGAATCATTTGTCTTTTCCCATATGGATCAATGGGTGGGTCAACGCATGGATGTCCACCCCCAAGCAATGTCACGTGCGTCCTCTAGCGCTTGGGAGAAGTGTTAGGATGGAAGCCATTGTTTAGTCTGAACTGGATTCACGTTTTGGAATTCTGTCTCCCAACTAAGGGCCAAATTAACCAGATAATTGCACTGTCTGGGTTTTGCTGGACAGAGCGAAGGAGTTAGTTGTGGTTGGCCTAGAAGAAGCCTCCGCCCCTTCTCTCCACCCTTTTCCCCCCCAAGTTCAAAAACTGCTTGCCTCAGCTCTTGCAGAGCCAGAAATCAAGACACCCTGGGGAGACCAGTGGGGGGAACTGCATCATGTTGCATTGCGTTACCCAGAATGCCCTTCTGGCTCTGCAGGGCCTCACAGCAGCGTCCGAGTGAGGCCTGAGAGGTTCCCGCCAGGGCGGTTGGCATGTCAAGCTCCCCTCTGTTTATATTTGAGGCAAAGGGTCTTTTTCTCCATAGGTACAAGTCACCCCTCTGTGGGACTAGGCAATGAGGTTGATGAATGGATTAATATCAAGTAGATTCAGTTCTGAGAGACTAGCAGACTAGGATTTGGTGAAACAGGCCTTGGGTTTCATTCCTCTCTAATTAAAAAAGGCTAAAATTACCATGGTCAGTCTTTCCTCAGTGTTAATGGAGGTACCAAAGCATCAGGAACAACAATGCCTTGTTCCAGCAGATGGAGAGAAAGGCAAGAGAAAGTGAAGACCTTGCCCTTGAACTTAATGAAGGAAGCTGGAGAAGCCACAAATTTGCATACGAATGCCTGACCTCTGTGATGCTGGAGTAGGCATGGTGTTAGGGAGAGGTGTGTGGATCCCAGATGTGTGTGGTGGGAGTTGTGTTCCTCTGCTGCCCTTTCTGTATTTCCTCCACTTAAATGTCTTCTGGAAACAAAGGTAGGATTTTTTTTCCCCTTAAAATATTTTAAACACTCAAGATCATCGCATCTGTGGTTTCTCATACTCGCTTTAGCCTTCCATCCACAGTTCTTCCTGGGGCAACCTTTCTTAGAACGGACCTTCGCTGTAGATGTTGACTCTAACAGCCATGTGATATTGCAAGAAATAATTGTGAATGAGATAGAGAAATGGAGATTGGATGTTAATTTTGTTTCGTATGCTGGTTACAGATCGACCATCCCCCTCTGTTAGGAAATGACTCCTTGGTAGAAATACACCTTGACAGAAATGTATCAAATGGCTTGCCAAAGAAACTCTGCCCTTGCCTTTTTTCTACTCCTTCTTCTTAAAAGTGACATAGAATTACATTTGCCAGTGACTTGAAGCTGGATGGAAGAGGGAATGCGCTGGATTACATTTGATGTAATAAAATTGAATGGGGAGATGGTATAAAGTCCTATTCGAAAGCTCAGCTGAAGAGGAGCAGGATTGGAGAGACTTAGTTTGTTAAAATTGCATGAAGAGAAAAAAAAAAGACCTAAGATCTGGGTGGAGCAAATTCTTATTAATTGTGGGAGGAAGCATGGTGTAAAGGTTAAGATTGTGGCTCCGGAGTAAGATAACTAGAGATAGACGCACAGCTCCACCGTATTTCAGCTGCATTGAGCTTCCGCTTAGAACATCTCGAAGTATCCGTTTACTCATCTGCAAAATGAGGATATTAACTCCTACCCATAGAGGGACTGTGTAGGTTAAATGAGTTAGTGTACGCAATATGCTTAGCGTAGTTTCTGACACATGTATTAAGTGCTCGATAAACTGTATTTATGGTTGTTAATCCCCTCAAACCTGATGCCACTTCAGGCTGTATGATCAAATTACAGCATTTAGAATACAGGGAGGTTTACACACACACACACACACACACACACACACACACACACACACACACACACACTATGCTAGTCAGGCTCTGTTGAGAGACCCAGTTGTAATGTCACATTGTAAGGGCATAATAGCAACTTGGAATGCCTTCCGAAGAGCGTGATTGCAGTGGAGAGTGACATCTGTCAGCAAAAGGGATCCGTGTAAGGACCTCTCGATGTTTAGTCCAAAAAAAGAGATGTATTTGATAGGACCCAGTCTACTCTTTGCAAATATCTACCCCCTGACTGCGTGATTGAAAATAGCAGTCGCTACCATGTGCATATGTTGAATACTTACAAGATAAGAATATTTTATTGTTGGGATGGGCACAAGCATTGCCTTCATCTCACGGAAGCTGAGGCTCAGAGGGAGTAAGTGGCTTTC